CCAAGGCCCGAGTCAGAGGAGGAGGAGCGCGCGCGCCCGCAGAGTGCCGACTGTCCTGGAGGACAGGGTTGTAGTCCTGATCCGGGCGGGTCCCTGATATTCCCGCCATCCCATCCCGAGCGCCATGGCCCAGCCACCGCCCGACGTCAGAGAGGACGACTGTCTCCCGGAGTACCACCACCTCTTCTGTCCGGACTTGCTTCAGTGAGGGCCGCCAAAGGGGCGCCTGCGGGAGCGGGGCGCTGGCCGACCCGGAGAGCGGAGGGGAGTGGGGACGCACGGGGTGCAGGCCGCACCGGGACTGTGGTTTTACTGGGATGTGTGAGGACCCCATGCTTGGCGACCAGACTGTACAGATGTACAGGTGGCCCCAGAGATGCAAGTTCTGGTGTTCTGATCTTTGGACTGCTGCTAGCATGTTCTGTTTGTCTTAGCAGGTGGTGGTGGGTATTCAGTGGTAATTCCGGAAGGTGGGAGTGAGGGGCTGTTCCTCGAGTACTGGGTTCGCCTACTGGTGGGTGTCCAGCCAAAAGACACAACCAAGCCTAAGACTGGAAGAAGGATTTTATTACTTGCAGCAAGTAAAGAGAACAGCGGGGATCTTTCCCAAAGCAGTGTCTCCCCCAACAGTAAAATTGGGGAAGTTTGAAGCTAATGTGCATATTAGTGAAGTGGCTTGGGCGGTGGACAGAGTGGAAGCTTTAGTTGACTGAAGTCATGCAGCTCAGAAAAGGTCATCCCTTAGTTTCCAGTTGATCTGGTGGTAGAATGCTTTAGGCTAACCTTATCTTTGAAACAGAACTGGGAATTTTCACAGCATATATATATCTTTGCTATGTTAGTTCTCATTTGTTTCTGCATTCTTCTGAGACTTGTTTAAAAACAAGCATTGTGGTGTAGATCACAAAATGGCTTAGGCCAAAAATGGCTTCTCTTACATCAAGAAAGTCATGCCTGGTTCTGTTTCTCCCAGGACCCCCTACCCTATCTGCTTACCAGGCAGCTGGAGGAAGGCATGTATGTTCTGAAAACATTTCTTACTTAATTAATAACTTTCTAAATAGATTTTTAGGTTAAAATAATTTTTCCCAAAGACCTGGAAAGCCTAGGAATGCAGGCTTTAAAAAGCAGCGTGTCTCAAATTGGATAGACATGCCCAGTGCAGTGGGTCAAAGTTCTCCAAGAGCCTCCTCCTGCCCTGCCCCCATCAACAGGGGCCTCTGTTTTCTTCTCTCAGGGACAAGGTGGCCTTCATTACAGGCGGTGGCTCTGGAATCGGGTTCCGGATTGCTGAGATTTTCATGCGGTGAGCACTGCTCTGTATACTTTGTGCCCCGCTTTTGCACCCCCACACGTACCCTTGCATGGACCCTGCTGGACCTTGGGATCCTGGGCAAAACACCAGTGGGTGATGGGAACCCCTCTAGGCCCTGGGCCATCAGAGAGCATCTGAAAGGAGTCAAGTGCTGTCCTGAGGGAGGCAGGACTCCACTGTCTCCTAGAGGTTAGTCTAGACTGTGGCTCTGGCCTCAGCACCCCCATTTGCACAAAGGGAGGGTTCAAAAGGTTGAGGTAACTACTGCAGGGCCCCCAGGGCCTTGCTGAGCCAGGGTTAGGGCAGGCCCTACAGTAGTTGGACCCTGGCACTGTGCTGAATACAGTGTCTGTCTCCTGGGACACAAGTTCTGTGGCCTCAGGCCTAGGTCAACACTTTGTCACCCTCACTTAGGATAGGCCCAGAGTTAGGCCGGGGTTGGGGGAGGTGAAGCCAGTTTCTTCTGGGACCCTGCTTTTCAGAGAAGTGGTCCTACTGAACGAGATGTGGGGATTTGTCCATTCATTCCGGGTAAACTCGTTTTCTGAGCTGGAAGCTATGTTGCTTCTCTGAGCAGAGAGTGGCCAGCTGTACTGGGTGGGAGTTTGAGGATTAGGTGGGATTAGCTTAGCAGGTGGTTGCTGCTACTGTTACTGAGTTTGAGGCTGAGTTTGTCTGGAGGTGAGGCAGGAGAAGTACCTTGACCTCAGAATGGGCTCTCTGTCCTTTACTACAACGTTATGGCAGTTTGGTGGGACGGGGCATGGTGCCAAGCCAGGTGGACTCAGCAGGACTCAAACAGAGCCTGGGCCCCATGTCTGAGGCTCACAGAAGCTTTGGTGCCGTGCACATGGTATTTGGGGCAGGGCCCACATCCCTGTGTGGCTGGGATCCTCGTTCCAGAGAGACCCAGTGGTCTCTGGGTGCCTGGTGCCTACCTGAGGTCCCACCACCATTGCTCAGCCCCACTTAAGTCCCTGTGTCCTCTACCAGCTGTGCCTTCAGTCCTGGGCTCCTGTTTCAGCCCGAGAGCCCCTTGGGGGAGGGGGGCTTTGCTTAGAGTGCCAGGCATGAACCCACCTGGGTGTGTCCCTCACACCTGCTCTTTGGCTTTCCAGGCATGGATGCCACACAGTCATCGCCAGCAGAAGTCTTCCAAGAGTATCGATGGTGATGGGTCCCTCCTTTGCCCACCCTGTCCCTGGGTGGCTTTGGGGGACAAGAGCCTGGGCCTGGAAGATCCTGAGGTCCAGAGGATGATGACAACAACTCTGCTCTTCTCCCAAATAGGAGGCTTCAGTGGCAGTGGCCTCCAGGAATACCCTCATCTTAAAGAATCTAAATATTGGGTCCTGTGGGGGGACCCTTATGTTGGGTGGCACCATGTCCCAAGAGAGATCTCCGGGCTCACCAAGGTTTTGCGGGAGACAGTCTCCCCTCTGCCCTAGCTGGTCTCTGGGCAGGGCTGGAGCAGCCATTCACCAGTGACTGGTGACCAGTGTTCTAGTGGTGGTGAGAGGAGAGGGAGTGCGGGATGTCTTAGAAGTGTCCACCACGGGTCATAGCCCTGGGGAGTGGACCAGCTGCGTCTTCCCAGAGTGGTTTTAGAAGCAGAAACCTGGCTTCCTGGCAGAACCCATACTCACCACCCTCATCGGATTCCTCCAGGCCGAGGCCCACCTGTCTCTTCCTGTTTGGCTTCTAGGCTGCCCGAAAGCTGGCTGCTGCCACCGGCCAGAGGTGCCTCCCTTTGTCTCTGGATGTCCGATCTCCCCTGGCCATCACGGCAGCTGTGGAGCAGGCGCTGAAGGAGTTCGGGAAGATCGACATTCTCATTAACTGTGAGTCACTGTCACTGCCTGGGGGCTTCTGACGGGTCAGCAATAGTAGACCTCCCTGTTTGGAGGCCCCAGAACTCCTGCCCTGGGTCCAGGCCACTGTCCTGGCCCAACTCTCCTCCTCCTGGGTCAGTGTATCCGGGGCTTAAGTGGACACCCTGTGAACTGGGCCGAATCACGGAGTAGAGGCACTCTTGTGTCCTGACATTGCCCCTTAAAGAAAAAGGAACACATATTATTTTTAGTATAGTTTTAGGTTTACAGTCTAATTGAGCAGATAGGACATATAACTCCACATCCTTCCCTGCCCCCTCCAGTGTCCACTATTAACGCCTTGCATTTATTAAAACTGGGGAACCGATATTGACACGTACTGTTAACTATAGTCCCTATTTTACATCCAGGTTCACTCTTTGCTGAAATTCCCTTTAAAAACATTCAGTGCGGCAGTTTCCTGCTGCTCACAAAGTCATAAACTGGGCAGCCTAAAACAACAGAAATTTATTCTGTCTGAGTCTGGAGGCTGAGGTGTGTCAGGACTGCACTATAGCTGAAGACTTCCAGGGATATTCTGTTCCAGGCCCAGCTCTTACTTTCTGGTGTTGCTGCCTGGTGTCCTTGGCTTGGGGCTGCCTCACTCCAGCCTCTGCCTCCTTCACACTGCCAACCCCCCTGTGCATGCCCCCCCTCTTTAAGGATGCCAGTCCTTGGATTTAGGCCCATCTTAATTCAGTACCTTGATTATTTCTACAAAGATCATCTTTCCAAATACGATTATGTTCACAGGTATCAGGGGTGGGACTCCAGCATATCTTCTTGAGGGACACAGTCCAACCCACAATATCCATCTTGCCCATCATTCAGGAATTTGTTCAAATACTTGGGCTTCTTTCCCTGTCCAGCCTGGACTACCATGAGGGTCTGTATGCTTCAGCTGCCTGGGGCTCCAGCATTATCCGCTGTCTCCTTCCACCCTGTAGGTGCAGCTGGAAACTTCCTGTGCCCTGCGGGCGCCTTGTCCTCCAATGCCTTCAAGACCGTGATGGACATCGACACTTTGGGCACCTTCAACGTGTCTCGTATACTCTATGAGAAGTTCTTCCGGGTAAGTGTCCTATGGCTGGGGCCTTCCCTCTTATGGCTGCCTGCTCACTACCCTCCTCATGTGTTGCAGGACCATGGAGGGGTGATCGTGAACATCACCGCGACCCTGGGTACCCGGGGGCAGGTGCTCCAAGTGCATGCAGGCTCTGCCAAGGCAGCTGTGGGTATGGGCACCCCCTCTGGTCTGCCTTCCTGGGTTCCCACTGGGTCTCTCTTACCTGTCCCACTGGGTCCCTTTTGCCTATCCCTGGAGGCCGGCAGTGTCTGAGTGAAGCTGAGCCCAGTGGTGGGCAGTGGAGAGGCCAAGCCCTGGCCCTGAGCCTCCACCCACTCCCAGGCCACCCCAGGAAGCAGAGCAGCTCTGCTTCTCCCTCATACCTGCCTGACTCCCATGCAGATGCGATGACACGGCACCTGGCAGTGGAGTGGGGTCCCCAGAACATCCGAGTCAACAGCCTCGCCCCCGGCCTCATCAGTGGCACGGAGGGGTTCCAGCGGCTGGGTAAGGCTCTTGGGGCTCCCAGGCCCCACAGTGGATGCTTCCCTGGGCACAGGCCCCATAGTGCTTCTGTGGGCTGCAGTCCCACCTGGCTGGGACAGGCTTGGGATCAGAGCCAAGTCTTCATGGCTCTGTGAGTCTGGGACTGGCATAGCCCTTCCCCAGGCTGGGGACAGTTAGCACACCCCTATGATGGACTGATGGTCAGCTGGACTTGGGCAGCTGCTCCTTTGAGACAGAGGCTACAAGGCTGCTGGCCTTGATGTGTGAGCTGCACACAAAGTGGGGCACCCATTGAAGCCTCCAGAACCTTGGCAGCGTGAGCGTGGAAAAGCCCTGTTCTGATTCTGTGGCAGTGTTGTCTGTATCTGTCCTGTTTTTCCTCCATAGAGTGGTGCTAACAGTGCCCCCAGCATCCCTAGGTGTGGCTTAGGGAAAGCTGGGCAGGGGAGGATGGAGGGCCTCAAGGTCCTGGGGCTCACAGGTGCTGAGCCTCCCGCTTCCTCCCAGGTGGCCTGCAGGCTGGCTTGAACGCTAAGGTCCTGACCAGCCCCCTGAAGAGGCTGGGGAACAAGACGGAGATCGCCCACAGTGCCCTCTTCCTGGCCAGCCCTTTGGCATCCTACATGACAGGGGCTGTGCTGGTGGTTGATGGTGGGTCCTGGCTGACATCCCTTAATGATGTCGGGTTGCTGACGGACTTCACATCCTTCTCTGCTAAGCTCTAGGTGATGTTCTGCTCCACTTTCTGGGGTCACCTGTGTCCTAGGCCCTCTCCCCAAAATACACACCTGGTGGACTGATGATCACTGTGCTGGGCCTGACATGCTCCCATCAGACTCTTGGATGTGTGTTTAGGTGTGTTCTCAGGCACTTCTGGGTTCCCCTGCTCCACATGTAGGGTAGGGCCAGGAGGTCCTCCGGAGGGGTTCCATTCCCCCCAGTCCCATGGAGCTGCACTGCAGACCTCAGGGCCTCCCTGCAAACCAGGACCAGCCATGGCCCCTGTGGCTGGCATCCCAGTAGCTAGGATGAGGAGCATTCATTGTGGGGAGGTCAGGGAGAGGGCAGAAGAGGATATTGGTGTCCAACCCCCAAGAGATGCACAAGGCCTGGCTGCCTGCTGCCCTCTCTGGGCACTGCTGTGGAACCATCACTTCCAGCCTGCCCTAGCCAGGCCACTCACCCACCCTGGGCTGTGCAGGAGGCGGGTGCTGGTCTCCCGTGCATGGGGGTAGTGACCAGGTAGTGACCTGACCACACCACATAGGTTTCTGCAGGGGGAGGTCGGCGTGCCAGCGCTTGGAGAGTGGTGATGAGGCCAGGCTGTAGGGGTGTCCCTCCCCACCTAGGGTCAAGGCCGTCCTCCCTGCCCAGCCCCAGCCTAGCCTGGCCTCCTTTCTTCTCCTGCCTGTGTCCAGCCAGTACCCTGAGGCGGCTCCTGCTGCCTGGTTGGAGAGAAGGGGGCATTTCAGGCTGTCTTCTCTTCCTTGCTCCCCTACTTTGGGACCTTTGCTTGGCAAAGGGAAGCCAAACCAGGGAGGTTGGAGAAGGGTGTTTGAGCCCTCCCTGCAAGACCTCCTGTCCTGGGTCCTCTGATCAGGGTGTGTGGGCTGTACACTGACCTTTGCCTGGGGGGCATTCCTCCCTGTTGGCCTCCAGTGATGTGGGCAAGGTTGCTCCTCACCTGCCCCAGAGCCCCTCCTTTGCTGGGACATCCCCAGAGGAGTTAGTCTTTGGTCATTCAGGGGCTCACATTCTAGGCCCCCCAGGTGGCCTGTCCTTGCCACCAGCGCTCTCCCTCAGGCCCAAGGGAATCTGGAACTCTGACCCCTCACTTGTTCCTTAATGACTGCTTTTTGACCTCCAGGCAAGGACCTAAGGGAGCTACTTGGTTCCTGGGCTTGTTTTCTATGCTGTTTGTTAAAAACTTCGAGGTGCCCAAAGCTGTTGGTCAGCCCTCTGACTGGGCACATGGATCCATCCTTCTCTCTGTATCATCCCTTTGCATAAGCACAGGTTCTAGAGTTTTGCCACAAAATGCATTTCCTTAAAAAAATGATCTTTTTACTATAAAGACATCTCTTTACTGGACTTCCCAAAAGTTTTTAGAAGGAAAAGAGGACACCTGAAAAGAATCACTGGTGATCTGGTTATTTAGAGGTAGTGGGTGTTTCCTTCTTGTCTTTAATCTGTGAGGGGTTTAGAAAACGCTTTTTACCCAGTGCTTGAAGCGCCCCCATCCTCAGACAGAAGGAGCCCACCCTGAGTCAAGGGGAGGCTGTCTGCTCCCCTGGTGGGAGGGGCGTGCTCCCCGGGGTCCCCAACGGTACTGCCTGCTCCTGCAAGGTCCTGGTGCTGCCATTAGGGTGCTGAGCTTGAACCCTCTGCCCTAGAAGCCCATGCCCATTTTTTGCTTGTCTTGAGTTCCTTCCGGCCTCCACAGGTGCAAGGGAGTGGCAGGGAGGCTCCAGGACTGTGCCAGCTGGGAGGCCACCTGGCAGAGGGAGCTCTGCTTGCTATTTAAATGGAGACCAGAATGTGGTGGCATCAAGTCCACTAGGGAGGCAGGCAAATGGGTGCTTATGATGCCGCTGGGGGAAGAGACTGAACAGGAAAGGCAGTTACTGGGGAGCTGCAGGCAGTGAGAGGCAGAGGCAGTCATAGGCCCCAACAGGCCAGAGAGCTGGGGCCTGCTGTCCCCTGTGGAGAAGGTCCTAGGGAGGGCATCCCGCCAGCCACACATGAAGGCCGGGACATACGGTTGAGGTGTGATTCCAGCAGGGGGTTTAGTTTAAAAGAGGCCTTGTTCTGGGACTCTACAGTGGCTTAGCTCCCGGAGGACAGAAGAGAATGAGGCAGGTTCTGGGAGTAAGCCTTTTATTACTGTCAGTCAGGGTTCTCCAGAGAAGCAGGACCAGTAGGATATATATAGATACACATGAGGAGATTTATTATAGGGACTGACTCATGTGATTGTGGGGGTTGAGGTGCCGTCTGCAAGCTGGAGACCCAGGAAAGCTGATGGTGTGGTTCAGTCTGAGCCCAAAGGCCTGAGAACTAGGGGCTCTGACGGCCAAGGGCCAGAGAAGGTGGATGTCCCAACTCAAGCAGAGAGTGAGGGAATTGCCCTTCCTCCACCCACACTGGGGAGGGCAGACCTTCACTCAGTACTGAATCAAACACTAATCTCTTCCAGAAATAGGGGTTTACCAGCTATCTGTGCATCCATTCACCTAGTCATGTTGACACAAAATTAACTATCATGGCTACACACACCATAAAGCCTGTCTCTGTGCTCCGTCATCTGCATGGGGTGGTCAATGTGGCTGTAAGAAGTTGGCCTCGCTGTTTGGCTTAGTCCACCAGCCGTAGCTGTTGTCCTGCAGGGGTAGGGTGGCTGCTGGGGGCTCCTGGGTCATAAGCACATCCAACAGGTGTCACTTACCAGGTGGTGAGGCTGGTGGGCTTAAGGACGGGCTGGCACAGAGGACCAGGTGCACATGGTGATGGAGACAGCATCGGCCCCAGCTGTGGCACATGAACTTGGTGGCAGAGAACGAGGTTCTCCCCTTCCATGTTAACAGTTGCAAAAATTCCCCTAGAAAATGCCAGATTCTCTGAAAGGAAGGATAACTTTAAAAATGTGAACTGGGGTCAATTTTTTTAAACCAAAGCTGTGGAAGCTGATTTACAGGCCCTGCTAACTCTGAGTCCTTCTTCCTTGGTGTGAGGATGGTGCACTTTCTTTTTTTCAGAACTTTACATAAAAACATCTGCCAAAACCAGGCTGCCCACCACAAGGGTGTGACCATCCAGCCCCCACTCCATGTTGCACATTTTATTTTATTTTTATTTTTAACAGAGGAATTGAACCCAGGACCTTGTGCATGCTAAGCATGCACTCTGCCACGGAGCTATACACCCCCTCTCCATGTTGCACATTTAAAAAGACATCATGTGCCATATCTCTTGAATGAACACATGAATGACCCCAGCCTGCTCATTCCTGTGTGTTGTAAGCTACACAGAGTGTCCCCGAGGTATCCCATGATGCAGTGAACCTTACAATTGCCTAAAGTAGACTGTTAGTCTGGAGGA